ACAGCCCCACGCATGATCTCCAACACGTTGTCCAATCAACGCACAACAACCTGCGGTGCGGCACGGACGTGCGGAGTCGTTGACAGAGAAAAATGCATGTGAAAGAACGACTTGCAGCAGTGCGACCTGCACACCATCCGAATCACAGCGTGAAAAGTGAAATTGCATCGCGCACTGTACTAATCGTCTCACTCTTGAGCCGCAGGGGCGTTGCCTGACCCGGCCGGTGGTTCCACTTGAGCCTCAGCGGCAGTGGAAGGCGAATCCTTCTTGACAGTGGCCGGTTGTTCCTGTGCATTCCACAATATCGCGGTAATGGGGAAGGGGACAGAGCAGACTACGGTGTCAACCAGGGCCAAGGCAGAGAGGACATACAGCAGTCTTGGCCGTATTCTCCACCATGCAACCATGCACGTATTGCGTCGTCGGTTCCTGCAGATGGACACCGAAAGAGCAAAGCGTGGCTGGAGCATGTCCCCGTACCGACACAAAGGAGATGGGTGCCTGGCAGGACCAAAAGCCGCAACTGAAACTGCTCGCCGCATCCGAGCTTCAAATTACAACTTACGGCTAGGTGGTGTTCATCTCACCTGCTCAGGCACTTGGTCAAACTCTGGCACAGTAGCTCCATCCACAAGCCCCAGTGCCATCGGAACGACAGCAGTGATGTGGGTCTCCGGGCCGTACACACGGATCGGCACACCGATGGACTCTCCGGTCTCACGGATCTTACGCAGTCCCTGCGTTTCACCAGGATGATGCAAAAACACGCCGCAAGCGGACATACCAATGTGAAGCAGGCTGAGAACACTGTAATTCCGAGGTATATTGGTCTCGCAGATACAGCGGCGAGTTGGCATTACATGCGGCGCAACGGTCTCTACAGGCAGGTACCGCACGTTTCACAAGAATGCGATGAAATTCGCAGAGCAATGCATAGCTGCACACATGACAACCAGGGATCTATATATACCTCTTGGTAGTTCGGGCCTGCTCGTCGGACCCAGATGGAGATGTTGCCGTCGCGGAGCTCTTCCGCGTACTGCTTGAGCGCTGTGATGATGCCAGTGAACGTGGCCGCGACGTCCGTGAAGTTGGCAATCCCTCCTCCAATGATGAGCACCTGGACAAGCGGGCGTGTCAACGTGTCCAATTAAGATTTCCGTGTACATCGCCGTCTAGTCTGCTGTGAAATATACCTCTCAACGCTCGAGATTTTATGTACCACGAAGGAACCCATGAAAAAGTGTTGATACGAGCCCCTTCAAATGCGCATGTTCTCTTTAGCAACTGTTACATGGTAGAAGGAATGTGTATTACGGTTTAGACCAAGAGATATAACAGACTGCCGCCAACTATGCAAGTCCCACCTTGCCCTTGTCGTCCTTCACCCGGGTCATGAGACCAAGGATCGTCTTAGCATAGTTGTACGTCATCTGTTCCGACGGAGCGCCAGAGTACTCTCCGTAGTTGGCAAGTTCCTGCATGTTCGCGGCATGGTCGGAAGGTAGATCCACATTTTAAGCAGCTAGCGACAAAAACCTCGCGAGATGCGCTTGCTGAACCGTTACGGATCCCTTAACTGAATCGTTACGGATCCCTTCGTGGCGCCGGAAGCAAGTCTGCAGTGGCGTTCGACGCATGCGAGACATACATCTTGCACGAGAGCTCGTCCGTACCACATGAGCACCACCCTCACCTTGCCGTAGCCGTAGTCGGAGATAGTGTCAGCGTACACCACTGACGCACCTCCACCAGCCACCATCGTCCACACCCTCCCGCTGTGGTTCAGAATGGTGAGTTTCAGGGATGCTCCTGTGCTACCGTCAAGTTTCTTGATGTAGGCCTCCTCGGGGAATTCGGGGCGACCTGATCGGTGGGGTGAAGATTTTCATCGGTGGTTCAAAAACTGGCCACCTGCTGAGCAGTGCGCGAGAACTCCTCATTCAATCGGTTTTGAGAAAATTATGTGCACGGCAGCCCTACAAAGCAGCACGAAGCACCTTCGTCGTGCCTACTGCTCGACAGAGGTGATGTTATCAACGCGAAGGCGAACTATGATGGTTGTCTCACCGAACGGAGCAGGGAAGTCAATCTCCCCCCACTTCGGGCCGCACAAAAAGGAGGCGGTCTCGTCGATCTTGGCGGCCATGTCCAGCGGTGTGATTCGCTCCCCCACAACCACGATGGGGTTGATCTCCATGTACACGAAGTTCAAGTCAACGTACAGCTTGAACAACGCTGCCAGGAAATCAGCTAGCATGTCCTGCCGGCTCTCTGGCACCTGCACGAAAACAAGAGCAACGAAGGCATAGGCAATCCTGAGCTACGTGCAGTTTCCATCAACGGCGACAAAACCAAGAATCAGCAACCTGCGCGTGAAGAGTTTAAACGCCGAAAATTCATCAAAACGGCGGAGCCTCCAAGCTACACATGGCCGGGATGGGACAAATGTCGAAAACCGGGCGCATGTGTCGGTTGTGTCGTGGCTGGTGCGAAATCCAACAAGAAACCGACTCGGTGGAGTCGCCTCGTGTTTAACGGCCACAGCATGAAACTCGATACACCCAACATCGAAACAACCGTATCTAACCCGTTCAGACACCCTGACGACACTTTCAGTAAAAGGTGCTTGGGTGCTAGGAGAGGGCGCAGTCGTGAGTGTACGTGTGGGAAATAAACATATCGAGCCACAGATCATTTGTTCTCCCGAGACCCCGGCGTAGCTCTCCAGTAGCGACCGAGACACCGATATTCCTTCCCTGTAGATGCAACACCAGTTCACCCCCGTCAATGCAAAAAAGCACGGATGTGTTCCATGTTCGATCGAAGTGTTTCACCACTTTTGGCCGCACTTCGAGTAGTGTTGAGGCAACACAAAAACCAACTGATACTGGTGTCGCACTCCTATATATCCGCAAGGCATATCGGCATATCGAATCTTCTGGGGGCTACTGTCTTGTGTCGCACATGGCGCATTTGGAAGAAAACTGTTGTGAGAACGGCCGCTACCGGTGCGGACAAAGCACTTCGCACGACTCCTAAGAAATTTAGAGCGCGTATCATCGCATCATAGAGCCGATCACGCCAGCAGAAGCTTAAGCCATTCGCGACCGACCTTTGAGAGGAGTGCCTCCTTGATGTCCGTGGCAGTCGCCTTGTCTCCGATCGGCACCTACATGGGATTCGGATTCAAGAGAACGGAGTGGAGGGGGTCAAGAGATCAAGGGTTGCGTGGCACGAAGTCCTGCAATATTTCAGGATGTCGGCGAACGTGTGGAGCGCAAGGTAATATATCTGCGTGCCGTTATCGAGCGCAACTATTGTTGATGTTGCCGGTCCTCCAGTCGTTCAGCACTGCACTCGAGCGCGAGCTTCCAGACCGCTGCCTATGTGAAACGTTCAGAACGCAGCCGATTTTCGAGCACAGCTACCCGTCGTAGTGAAGTGCATGCCGTGATTGATCACCCCGTTTACCATATCCAAAGAAGCATGAATACTATGATGAACGCTGTGTAACAACGTTGGAGTTAGTTGGCAACGTTGTTGCGGAGGAATAGCACCAACAGACCAGCCGCGTCATGCCTCCATGTTCCTCACCCTGCTGTCTCATACCGGCACTGCTGTACGTGAATCACATATTGCGCGCACAATTGGTGTACACAACTTCCTGCTCACCTGGAGTCGGTCTGCCTTTGCGTCGACGTCGCCGACATCGACTCCTCCTTCGTGGCAAAACAAGAACTCTTCGCCCTCCCGGTTGGAGTTAATGCACACGTAGTACTCGTCACTTTGTTCGTGGGGAACGAACGGCTCGACAATGAATGTGTCAAGGATGCCTGTCACGACTTCCACCTGTCAGTCAAAGAGCACAACAACGCAGCAGGCCGAGCGTGATTGCATGATTCAGCTCCGCCCCATCACTTGTTACCGCTTCACGCAGCGGTGGGCAAGGCGAAGATTTTGCTGGGCTGCAAGAGTCGACAACAAGTTATTGGTAACAAGCGTCCAACCGTACGCTAGATCATCTCGATGGGGGCGGTGAGGAGAAGAGTGTAGGGGCAGCAGTTTCGACTCCACGTGCGTAAGATGTCGAATGTGCGTTTCGGCGGTGTGGCCAGGTGTGTCGCGGACGGAAATGCACTACAACGCCGTGGATCCATTCACAACGGAGAGGCTACACGATTTGTTCCGAATACCGTGCTACCTCCTCTGGTGCCGTGCAGACTCACAGACCTAGATAGTACTGCACGAAATACCGAGATCTGTACAGCGCTGTACACGTACCTCCTGGCTCTTGCCCATGCGTTCCGAAATCCATGCCTTCACCTCAGGCCAGGTCTTGTTGACTGCGAGTAGACCAGCCTTTCCTCTACGCTTGATCAGCTGGTCGGGCTTGACGACCAATGGGGTGTTGGCGAGCCACAAGTTGTCTTGCTCGATTTTGGTGAAGCCAGCGTCAGCACCCCCCTGAAGCATGTCCGCTTTCACCTGTCACACAGAAGAAGACATCCACAGCAGTCAGCATACACAGCCGACTACAGCTCACTGACTATACATTTTCGGCAGCACACACGCCTTGTGGCACATCACGTACAACCGACCGGCAAAGCCAAGAACAAATGAAAACGAACAAGACCGGCGAAGAGAACAACGTTGCCCCTGGGTCACACTTTCTGCTTTCTACGAACGTGTCTGGAAACAGATTGGAGACCAACCTGGACACAGCGGTTCTCGATGTCGTAGTCGCCATACTCTGAAATCCACTTGGATACAAGGCGCTTGCCATGGTACTCCCTGATGGCTTTGGCAGACATGGCTGATGGCAGGTACGTGTAGTGAGTCGCGCGTGAGTTATGTGTGACGATGGGCGTGTGCGGTGTGCGGTGCATACCGAGACGAAGGGAGCACGCAGATAAACATACTGGAAGAATGACCCCCCTGTTAGCCACGGGGACAGCGCGGTTCGCGTGAGTCCCCAGCTGTCACCCACGCACATCTTTTTGTTCGTTCGAGTAGGTGGTATGCTCGCCAGCAGCGGCTACTGCGGTGCTTCGGTGGTGTGCTGCAACATGGATGTCGAAATAGGTGGCGTTCGCTTCGTTGACTCGGTAAGATATGTGCCGTTGTGCCAAGTTGAGCTGGGGCTTGGTGCTTTGTTGTATTCTAATACTTGAATATGCACAATTGCACGATGTCATTTGAAATGTCCCGCATCGATGGTGTACAAATGTACTACTGCTGTACTGCTGTAGTGCTTTTGCATGAATAGCCCACACAGCCCACGCCCCCCCCTGCCCTTCTCTCTTCAGACGTGAGGCGATAAGGGCATCGACAACTGTTCTACAGTATTTATTTTGTGACGAGGAACGGTGCTCCGCCTCGAAATGGCACCTTGTCAATATCTAGTCAGAAGGACTGAAACCTAACAGCACGCCTACCCCGCTCTCTGTAATCTCGCTCTCTCTCTCTCCCTCCTTCTCTGTCTCTTCCCAACCCTCAGGTTATGTGGGATATCCACCAGAGTTCGGTAAGTGACTCCACCACATTGCCCTTCGCCTAGGAGGAGGCAAGTCAGTTTGTAAACTCTAGTGCACGCCGCGTTAGAGGACCACGATTGCGCAACAGCATCATAACCTGCTGTCGCGTTTTATTTCTGGTTGTTGTTGTTGTTGTTGTTGACTTCACGTTAAACCGTATGCCAGTTGCTAAATGCCAAAATCTAGCTAAGACTCTCGGCCCGTGGTCACGAAAGTGCTAGAGCCATCTGAGGATCTAAAGAACACGCACACGTAGCAAGAAAAAGGTATACAAGAGCCCGAAGAGGTACTACTACACCTATATATAATCCCTGCAGCACCGTACGCGTGCCCAAAACTGAACTACACGTCCGTCTCACCGTTCGACTACAG